GCAGAAAAGTTGAACCAACAATATTACAAATTAACTGATTACCCAAGATTGTTGATGAGGCACGAACTTTTAAAGATTTAGTGTTTTTAGAAAGCTTTGTAAGCATTTTTTCCCATCAGATGGTTGATTTTATGTGCTCTTTTGGTTTCGGGGTTTTGTGTTTTGCCCTTCATTTGTTTTCCCCACGAATTTGTGTTCGGCACGTTTGGGTCATTGGCTGGGATTGCTCTATGTTCCTTTGCCCTTCTGCCCCGCCATGGCTTCGTCATCAATCTCTTCTTCATCCTGTTGTCGGGGCGCTCAGCTGTTGAGAATGTCAGTTGGAGGTTTGAAGCCACATATTCTTGGAGAGCTTGACCTTGGAATTTGTTTCAATTTGAGCATCTTTGACATTCTCAGTTGGAAAGCTACAGAAATTAGCTCTTTCAGTTTGCGCTTGGAATTTTGTGTCATTCTTCAGCATCTTTATGTTCTTCCGTAGCGTTTTTGCGAGTTTTTCCTCAAGCCACTCAGGGACGCTTTTTAGCTCAGGGGTGTCGGCATTGCCATGGCGCTCAAATCTGGTGTATTCGCTTGCCTCATCCTTGCATTGTGCGTGAGCTGCAACAACGTCATGGCAGAGGAGAACTCCGGCAAGGAGACTGAGAAGAGCGGCATCATCATCGGCCGCGGCCTCCCAAGTGAGACTGAGAAGAGTGGAGCGCCCTTCCTCCCTCGGTCGGAGAACCTCGAGGAGACTGAGAAGAGCGGCATCATCATCGGCCGCGGCCTCCCAAGTGAGACTGAGAAGAGTGGAGCGCCCTTCCTCCCTCGGTCGGAGAACCTCGAGGAGACTGAGAAGAGCGGTGACATCATCATCCGCGGCCTCCCAAGTGAGACTGAGAAGAGTGGAGCGCCCTTCCTCCCTCGGTCGGAGAACCTCGAGGAGACTGAGAAGAGCGGCATCATCATCGGCCGCGGCCTCCCAAGTGAGACTGAGAAGAGTGGAGCGCCCTTCCTCCCTCGGTCGGAGAACCTCGAGGAGACTGAGAAGAGCGGCATCATCATCGGCCGCGGCCTCCCAAGTGAGACTGAGAAGAGTGGAGCGCCCTTCCTCCCTCGGTCGGAGAACCTCGAGGAGACTGAGAAGAGCGGCATCATCATCCGCGGCCTCCCAAGTGAGACTGAGAAGAGTGGAGCGCCCTTCCTCCCTCGGTCGGAGAACCTCGAGGAGACTGAGAAGAGCGGCATCATCATCGGCCGCGGCCTCCCAAGTGAGACTGAGAAGAGTGGAGCGCCCTTCCTCCCTCGGTCGGAGAACCTCGAGGAGACTGAGAAGAGCGGCATCATCATCGGCCGCGGCCTCCCAAGTGAGACTGAGAAGAGTGGAGCGCCCTTCCTCCCTCGGTCGGAGAACCTCGAGGAGACTGAGAAGAGCGGCATCATCATCCGCGGCCTCCCAAGTGAGACTGAGAAGAGTGGAGCGCCCTTCCTCCCTCGGTCGGAGAACCTCGAGGAGACTGAGAAGAGCGGCATCATCATCGGCCGCGGCCTCCCAAGTGAGACTGAGAAGAGTGGAGCGCCCTTCCTCCCTCGGTCGGAGAACCTCGAGGAGACTGAGAAGCGGGTCTTCCCATGATGGGCATGATGATGGTTCACGTCTTGAGAAGGCTTGCTTCGCCAACAGGGCGACTTGCAAAACAGTGCTTGCTTCGCCACCAGGGCGACTTGCAAAACAGGGCTCTTGGCTGATGCTTTTATGATTGACAAGGTCTGTAGGTAGCAAGGTTTCAGGGTGTCAGGTAGGAATAGGACATTGCTTCAATAGAGCATTGATGCCAGTGAGCCTTCAAAAGCTTGACATTCTGGCACCAACAAGGCACAAAACACAAATCTTTTTCACTCCATTTCGCCCCAAAAGTTTGGATTGCTGTGCCATCTACATCGCGCTGAGGTTAAGAAGACATGGTTATCAACAAGTTCATGAAGGGCCGTTTGGGCATGGTAATTGCGGTAAATAAAGAGATTTGAGATTGAGAAAGATGTGATGCTGTTGTGATATGCTAGTTTGTATGTATGCTGGTATGTATGCTGGGGGGTGGGATAGTATGTTGGCTGGGGGCTGAGGCTTCCCCTATAGGGAGAGACTGTGGTAATTAATCCCATAATCTTCATGATAAATGATGATGAAAATTATGTTGGTTATCCCCATAAATTTGAAGTGATGATTATGAAATTCAAACTCAAAATTACAAGAGGCACACAAACACTTTGAAGCATGAGGAGAATTTGAAGAAGAATGATAGTTAAATTTCATTTTATAAAAGTGAAATTGTCTTTTGTTTTGGTTTGTTGTTATGGTTTTTGGTATAGTCTATTTTATAATCTATTGTATTGTTTAGGTTGTTTGAGTTTTTTGTTTTGTTGTTTGTTGTTAGGTTTTATGTTGAATATCTTTGTATGATTGTTTGTTGGTATGCTGTTTTGGTTTTGTTAATTCGTTTATGGGGCTCCCGTCTTTCATGATTATCCCCCAAATTTGTTGGTATAGTAAGTGGGCGGTTAGATAGAAAAGACGGGATTGCCTTAGGCTAACTATATATATGTATATGTATATACTGTATATATGAATTATATTGCTTATCATCAGTTTTAAATTGTCAGGATATCATCTTATCGTTTTGTGCTAGTTCGAAGCCGTGGTTTGCAGAATAACGGGGCAGACCTTCACTTTAGCTCCTTTCAGGTCCTATCGAATGTTCATCCTGAGTGCTGATTTTGAAGATGAGCTTGACAAGGACTGGGACGGGACGGGAAAAAACGGAGGTTTTCCATTTTGTTTTTGAAAAACAAATTAATGTGGGATCCACCCAATGCCATGTTTACCATCCCCCAAATAAGAACTTTATGGGTGGTATGTTAGTTTTATTAACAGGTCGCCCACATTAAAATGACTGTTGTTTGTTGGATTGCACCAAAAAAACAACATATTGTTGACATTTTTTGACGAGGTTTTGCAGGAGGTTGTTGATGGTTATTTCAGTTTCCCTCCAGTTGGTTACTGTATCATTCTTCATACGATCTTTGATCCAATGGAGAGCTGAATCACATGGAATGTCATCATTTTCCAGCGTCCCTTTTCATGTTCGGGTTGACCTTCAATCCTGCAAGATTGACTGTCAAACCCCGCCCAATGTAGGCACCAAAACGACGTCACCACAATGTCACTGGAAATGATCAGTACAATTTAGCCATACTTCATTATTGCATTATGGTTATATGGGTATGAGTCAAAATTAGGTACCCCAATAATTGGATGGTTAATACTAAACTAGACATTTCCATCTGTGGTCCCCTAGGTCTTCCATTTTGACCCACATCCATATACCCCCATGATATTCCATTTACATCCATTTACGATGGAATCACTAGATATAATCCCTAATCCGGTTTATTCCAAGAATCCCAAGATATTCCATTTACCCTGGCTTAAACTAACATAGATGTGGAAAACCCGTGGAAAACTCCCTTGGAAACTGATCTACTTAAATGGTGTGATTCTTTCCACATCGAACTGGTGGTTTACGGGAGGGTACCACATTATACCAACCAATGATTGCCAATGCTTTGATACCAACCATATAGGGTACCATATTATACCATATAATACCATATTATACCTACCAACCATTGATACCATATTATACTGCTATCCAACTACAATTCCGAAATCATCAGCCATTTACCACCATGGTTTTATCCACCCATTTACCATTTCGTGGCCACAAGGATGGCCAGAGCTTCCATTGGACGCTCGAGCTCCAGCCGCAGCTCTTGGATCACGGCTGTCACCTGTCCGGGCTGCGCGTGGCCAGCCAACTCCCGGAGGCTGGAGGTTGTTTGAAATGCTTGGAATGTGGGGATTTTTATGCAGAAAGAATCGGAAAGAAGTGGAGCTTAAGACATTGAGATTCATATCCTTGGGATATATCAAAGTGGATTTTGACTTCGGAACATCTGGTGATTGAAGTCATCAACAGCTGTGTTGATTTTGCCAGCCATGGGATGTTGATCAATGATCATGGGATTTCAGCCGTGAAAACCATGGGAACAAAAAACGTGTCTTTTGCTGCAGTTGTTCAAATGATTTGAGATGTTTCCGAGACTGGAAGATGGCGGATTATAGGAGCAGGTCGTCCCTTATAACAGTATACTATACCCTCTGGTAAACTAACATAACTATGGAAAATCACCATTTTTAATGGGAAAATCCACTATAAATTGCCATTTTCCATAGCTATGTTAAATTACCAGAGGGTACCTTTGCCAATCCTTGGTCCTTGGGTATCTACCTGGCGATAAAAGGTCTGTGCCGAGATGATCCGAAAGGCGATTTTTTCAAGGCGACAATCTGCCTGGATGGTGGATGATCTTTGAATTTGAAAACGCGCACGGAGGCGTGATTGGTAACCCTACCTGGATGGTGGATGATTGGTAGCCCTACTGAAAAAGAATCCGGTGTTTAAGATAAATGGATGTTTCTTAAAGTAGGGCTACCAATCATCAACGGAGAGGCGAAAAAGCCCCTTTGAAGACTGAAACAAGGTCGTCACAGGGGGCCCTGTAACTCTAAAAACACATGGAGCAGAAGACAAGTCGTTCAAGACGCACGATCTCGCTCCTGCCAAGATTGTACAGGGCGCAGCAGTTGAGAAAAGGATGGCTTTCTGCGGGGGGGGACGCCTTGATGGCGATGCCAAGAAAAGGGTAGCTCCCCCAAAGGATAGACTTACCTTCCTCGGTGAAAACTGATGGTTTGGAGTATGGCCTGTCTTTAGACGTTTTTGGTTCTAGGTATAGATTCATCCGCAGTCCAAAGTCTTATTGGATTGGTTGAAGGGAAAAATTGCAAGGAGACCTATATTTAATGGGAAAAACTATGGTTTTCTGTAGATTTTCCCTTTAACCAAACCAGGTGAACGTCGTAGATTTCCATCCCCCCACCACCTCACCTCGCCCAGATCATGCCCGTGACCGGACGTGGGATTCAGTGCAATTTCTGCGCTGCACTGAGGTTGTGACGATCCCAACCAGGGGGTCACTTTGCTTCGCATCGGCAGGAAATCGTTCTGGAAATCTCCAATTTTCTGGTCCAAATGGTCGGAACAATGCCTGAATAAACTCTAAAAATTCATCCATCCAGGAGCATTACCTACCCAACTTGGCTTGGAAAGGACTTGTCTTCTTGGATTTGTCGCCGATTCCGTTCAGTTCGCCTCCCTGAAATGTCTGGGGAATCACTGGCACCAAGGCTCATTTATGGATTGCTTCAGGTTGATGAGGTGCCAAGGGGGGCATGCTGCCGGAGGCTGTCCCAAACTGGGCACTGAGATAGACCAACATAATATTTTATCATCCTCCAAGAGAATCACCATGTCAATAGGGATTCCTTTTCTATCTTTTTGGGGATACAGTAACTCACTTCAGAAGGAATCGGAGGGAGTGCTGATTGGTTCTGGGTTCTTGGCGGACCCTGGACTTTTGGCCGAACTATAGCATAACTACTGTATCCACAATTACCAGCCAGTGGGATCAAGATAGGATGGCGAAGTGGATCAACCAGCCCATGGTTTCATGTGGAGTTTCCCTTGAAGCAAATAAAGGAGGTTCTCACTTTTGGTTTAGTTTCACAGTTGCTGGTGACACCCCCCATTGTTGCTGCTGACCGCCTCACTCTTGGATATTTTTCGGCACCTAGAAGGGACTGTAAAATCCAATTCAAAAAGCTGATCGTATCTCAATTGTTGGTTGCTTAGATTCCAAGTTATGGCTGGTGAAATCGTTTGTTTTCCACGTTGAAATGCTGCTGGCATCACAATTTTGTTTGGTTGCGCCGTCATTTTTGTTCAATATATATAAATATATATATATATATATATACACAATATTTTTTATTTTTCTATATATATATAAATAAAATATACCTAATTCTATAATGATATAACTTATAATATTATGACATTATATATATATATCCCAACTTCTGTTGTCGCGGTTTCCTTGAATGGGACCCAAAAACCCGTACGTTTCCCGATTAAGAATGACAGTAAAATGACAGTAAGAAATTGCATGATTTTGAGAACATCGACTCATACCGGGGTTTCTTCAAATGGGGGATCCCCAAGTCACCGTAGTTGTTTCAATACTAAGCCATAGTCATACATGACCACTGGATGATTTTAGGGATAGCCCCATGACTTGGGAAACCTCCATATAGTGTAGAAACATAGTTAAAGTGATCATTTTGCGAAAAAATCGCCTCACATGCCCGAAACCACTCATATCCCCAACTTTTATATACTATATACGTATATAAATACATACATATATATATATATCACTGTATTTCGGAAACCAGTCATATCGCCCACTTTGTTTTTGTCCTCCCGTGGCTTTTGCCGTGGCTCTGAGGCAAGCCTCACAGCCGGAATCCAACGAGATGCTCTTTGTGGGACATGAAGTGGCCACTGCTGGGGGACCTAGGTGAAAGATATGTGGAATTGGCCTAGGTAGTTTGGATTAGGTGAGTTTAGTTTACTCAAAATATCTAGAAATGTAGAAAATTGCGGCAATCAATGTTGTGGTTACTTGTACTGAGAGTTTCTTGGCAACTATGAACAATATCTAGGTTACATGGCTGATCATCTAACCTGCACGTCAAGTCACTCATTTTACCCTACCATGGGAGTGACGATTTGCCATGAACCAAGGTGTAGAAAGACGTAGATCCAGAGATGGCAGGAATGCAAACGGATTCTGTATCCACGTTGGCCGTATACATCAATACGCATATGAATTATGAACTATCAATGGTCCATATCTTTCAGCATATATCATTCCTACATCATCATCATTTCCACATCATCATCATTCCTACATCATCATCATCATCATCATTTCTACATCATCATCATCATTTCTACATCATCATTTCTACACCATCATTTCTACATCATCATTTCTACATCATCATCATCATCATCACCATCATCATCATCACCATCATCATCATCATCACAATCATCATCATGATCATGATCATGATCATCATCATCATCACCATCATCATCATGATCATCACCATCACCATGATCATGATCATGATCATGATCATCATCATCATCATCAGGATCATCATCATCATGACCACCATCATTATGATCATCATCATCATGATCATCATGATCATCATCATCATGATCATGATCATCATCACCATCACCATCATCAGCATCATTATCATGATCATGATCATCATCATCATGATCATCATCACCATCATCATCATCATCATGATCATGATCATGACCATGATCATCATCATCATGATCATCATCATCATCATCACCATCATCATCATGTTCATGATCATCATCATCATGATCATCATCATCATCATCATGATCATGACCATGATCATCATCATCATCATCATTATCATGACCATGATCATCATCATGATCATCACCATCATCATCATCATCATCATCGTGATTATCATGATCATCATATTTTTATTTAATCATTTAAGAATATATCAGAATAATGACAATAGTGATCATATATCCATGTGCATTTACACAGAATTTCAACCTGTGGGCGACACTTTCGCCACGCACCGCTTGTTTCACCCAGGAGGCGGTGTCCATCGCGGCCAACCTGCCGAACGAGACGCGGCAGCCGCAGGAGCCCCTGCGACCCAGGAGGCCATGGGGGTCCATTGGGGTTGAGATATGGCTGGCTGAATTCGATGGGTTTTATGTAGATATAACTATAGTTAATGGGGTTTATAAACCAACTAACTCAACTAGATCTAAAAGTAAATGGAGCTAATTGGGTATGGATCAATACCTTTGAAAATACCATTTTTAGGGGAATGAACATCCATAAATCCCAGCTATTTTGATGTGAACTATAGGGGTACAAGGTTTTGACACACTGCCATATAGCTATAGTTAATGGGGTTTATAAACCAACTACAGTAACTAACTAACTAGTTTATGGATGTTGATGGTAGAGATTTCACGAACTAGTTCATGGGGTTTGTAAAGCAACTTATAACTTGGGGAAACCATCCTGTGGGAATCATTTTTTTCCCCACCTGCCAGGTGAGGGTTGTTAGATTTTATCAGAGCTGTTCTCCTCCTCCTCCGCCTCCGCATCCTCCTCCTCCTCGTCCTCCTCCTCCTCGCAGTCCAGATCCCAGTGGGCACTGCCGGACCTCAACCGCGAGTTGCAGATCGCAGTGGGCACTGCCGGACCTCAACTGCGACTTCCAGGTCGCAGTGGGCACTGCCGGACCTCAACCGCGAGCTCCAGATCCCAGTGGGCACTGCCGGACCTCAACCGCGAGCTCCAGATCCCAGTGGGCACTGCCGGACCTCAACCGCGACTTCCAGATCCCAGCGGGCACTGCCGGTCCGCAACCGCGACTTCCAGATCGCAGTGGACTGCCGGACCTCAACCGCGACTTCCAGATCGCAGTGGGCACTGCCGGACCTCAACGGGAAGAATGTCAGAAAAGATGTCAGATAGAATGTCAGAAGATATGCCAGAGAAGGTCAGAAGATATGCCAGAAAGAATGTCAAAAGATATGTCAGATAGAATGTCAGAAGATATGCCAGATAGAATGCCAGAAAAAATGTCAGAAGATATGCCAGATAGAATGTCAGATAGAATGCCAGAAGATATGCCAGATAGAATGCCAGAAGATTTGCCAGATAGAATGCCAGAAGATTTGCCAGAACGAACATATGCCAGAAGATATGCCAGATAGAATGCCAGATAGAATGGCAGAAGATATTTCAGATAGAATGCCAGAAGATTTGCCAGTAAGAAAATGTATAAATGTCATGGTGGGGATCATTCGAAGTGAAGTAATTTACCATGAACATCACCAAAAATTGATCAATGAATATCACATGCATCATTTGTTTCTCCATTGAAACTATGCGCTCAATGAATATCAATGACATCCAAAGACCAGGAAATTGGATGATTTGGGGGGTTCTTGCGATTCTGGGAACCTGCCAGATATATCTTAACGTCCAGGATGATCCAGGATGAATATGAACCCCGCCGTTGATCATTGGGGGAGGGCAGGTATCCGGTATCCTTCTGGGTACCGAAACGAAATCTCTATTTAGGGACAATCCTTCGACTTTTCATCGACCAAGGGTTATGAATCCGAGTTGACCTTACGCATGAGATATAATATCTGCGGTTTCCTTGAAGTGGGGGACCCCCAAATCATCCAAGTTCATGTTCACGGGTGGGTTTTCAATGGGAAAACCACGGAGTTTCTGGTACCTTCAAGTTTAAGAAACACGTTTAACTCAAGATCAAAAAACCATATTTTGTGGGGATATTCGGATATTCCCTTACATAAGCCTCAAAAATAGGCCTTCTATATGGTAGGTACCTGCAATAAATCGGTTCCTGAAATGGCCATTGATCAGAGATCACCACAGAGATTTCCAAATCATAGGGATTCAGATGGATTCAGTCCACCATCACGGGGACGTCCCCTTTCAAGGACCAGACTCCGGTGATTTTTTTTTGGGCCCTAGAAAAAAAAACATACTGGGATAATCATGAGATACTCATGGGATATTCATGGGATACCCTCTGGTAAAAGTCTAACTTTGGCAAATCACCATTTTATAGCTGGGTAAATCAACGATTTCAATGACCATTTTCAATAGCTTTTTGTTAGTTTACCAGAGGGTAAATCATGGGATAAATTCTATACATGTGGATCTTGAACATTTGAAGCCGTCAATCTTTGAATGTTTATCAAGATACATGGCCATCATTCCTACGAATGGACCGCCTCCGAGATGGTGTTTGGAGCCAGAACCCCGACAATAGCTATTATATACCCTCTGGTAATTTAACGTAGCTATTGAAAATGGCCATTTATAGTGGATTTACCCATGAAAAATGGTGATTTTCCATAGTTATGTTAGTTTACCAGAGGGTAATTCGTGAGTAGAGACCCTCCATTTTCCTGCGAAGATTCAGGTTCCCATGAAAATTGCGATGGTCGAAAAAAACCCGGATGATTTTGACACACCTAAATCATATTGTGGGCTATACTATGTACGGCATGATGACCCATACCATCACCACTATACATGGCCTTCTATACATATATATATATATATGTATCCATACGCATATGTATATATATATATATATATACACATAACCAATATAGCCCCCTATCCCTGTCTGAGGGCATAGTTCCAACAATTCCAAAGATACTCTCAATCTATACCCCAGTCCCGTTCTTTATCATCATCTTTCATCTTCCGATTAAAATGGTTGTTTCAGAATGACCCTATCCTTTTTGCAACCCTATATCCTATGATATCTTCAGTATATTTTCATAATTTCGTCATTATATCTGCATCCTATCGTCATTATGTATTCATTATATATCTTCATTCTATCTTCATCATATCCTCATTATATCTTCGCTATATCTTCATAATGTTTCATAATATCTTCAATATCATTCCTCTGGTAAATGAACACTTCGACCCTGAAAACCACCAATTTCTTAGTGGAAACTAGAATCTTCCAACATTTTCCAACCCCCAAAATGGCAAGGTCTAATTTTACATCAAACTTCTGATATAGTCATCCTATGGCATCCTTATATGACCCCATGATACGACTGGTCGATCAGAAAGTCAGGCAGCGGCCTCCCTTCCCGGGCGTTCCGGTGGACCCCGCCTCGGCCGGGAGCCGAAGACTCACTGCGTCATGGGAAAATGATGGAAAATGGCCAATCTATAGGGGATTCTCATGGATTTGTTCCATGGATTTTCTTAGAACATGGCAAACACATATAGGTGATGTTCATTGATTGTCCTATTAACGTTCACCTCTGATTTATAAGTAGGGCCCCCCTCTCTTCCCCTAAATAGACTTAAAGCCACCATCAAACTTGTTTGTATGTAAAGGTTTTCAATTACCACAATTTAAAACGATAATATAAAATGCAATTTCCAAAAAAAAGGGAAACCAACAATTGTTTTTGTATTGATCTAGTACTCATGTCATGGATTTAGTATTGATTTAGTATTCATGTCATGGATTTAGTATTGATTTATTACTCATGTCATGGATTTGGTACTGATCTAGTACTCATGTCATGGATTTAGTATTGATTTAGTATTCATGTCATGGATTCAGTATTGATTTAGTATTCATGTCATGGATTTAGTATTGATCTAGTATTCATGTCATGGATTTAGTATTGATTTAGTATTGGTTTAGTATTTAGTATTGATTTAGTATTCATTTCTTGATCAGCGGGAGGGGGAGGCTCAGTAGCTTTATTCAGGGTCAAACTCTAATTGGTGCTAAGGCACCTCATTGGGGGGTACCCTTGGAGTTGATTTTGGATAATTTTGAATAAAGGTTTTGAATAGAAAGAGCATCCATCATTTTTGAAAAATTTCCAGCTATCATTTTTGAATAAAGGTTTTGAATAGAAAGAGCAACATATAGGATAAGCCAAAAAAAAATTGGGCCAAAAAAGTTTAGCTTTATTTAGGGGTCATTTATTATTTGTTTTGGGGCTCTGGTTAGCTTTATTTAGGGTGGGTTTAAAAGTCGTAGGTCAACATTAAGACTGAACATTTTCCATGGCAAACTGCTAAATTACCAGAGGGTAAATGGCGGTTTGACCATCAACAAAGGGTATGATACCATCAAAAACTGTTGTTTTACCATGTTTCACCATCATTTTTTTAAAACTATCATTGTAAAGACTCGATCAACAATGAGGTGGGCAATAGACTGGTTGAAGGAAACATCTACAGGACACCATTGTCTGTCTTTACCATCTAATATAGGGATTTCGCGAGTATTTTCCCTTCTTCACTTCTGGGAATAAATGCATACGACCTGTCCCATAGGATCCATGTATGCTATATATGGCAACATTTACCATCAATATACCCCCAATGTTAGCATATATACCATACATGGATCCTATGGGTGTTATTGTTTTGTACGTTTTTTCCTCTCCTCGGTTCTGACCCCAACAGATTTTTCTGCACATCCGCACATCCACATTCTGGCCAGGGATGGGCCATGATGGGCCCCCCTCATCATGACATCCTGCAGGTCAGGCGCTGCAAAAAACTGATCTGTTCTCGTTCTCTAAGGTTGGTCTGGAGCTACTGCTTGGCCCTTAGAATGGGGTGAAACCGGTGACTCACCGATACCAGCTGCAAGCTGCAAGCGAAAAAAACTGCGCCGCGCCTGATTCGCCGGGTGATCACAAGGCCAGTCTTAAACGAGAGCCAACTGCAGCATGTCTTTGCAGGGGGCCACAGTGATCACAGAGAGGTTAGTTGACCACAAAATATCAAGAAATCGATGCTTTGAACTTATCTGCAATGTTTAACACCCCTGTTGATTGATTATAGATTATATCAATCATATATATATATGATTCTATAAGGTTATACTATATCTAATATTATCCAATAATATCCTACATATGTAAGTAGGGTTTTGAACACTTCTGAAACGATCCTGGGATAGATAGTTGCTCCACTGGTGATATCTCTCGATGCTGAACAAGACTTTTGACCTGGACTTTGCAGGGTAAGCTGTTCCAATGGAACTGAAAAAAACATGTGGACCTGCAGTTTCTCTGGTGGCTTTGCACATTCAGTCCATATAGTGTTCATAATGTTTACCGATTTTGGTGTTGAAACCATGTTTTTAGCGGCACTTTTTGTTGGTTAAATAAGTGGTTAACTCACCAGGCGATCCGTTTTTCCTGTGGAAGTAACTAGGACATATCTGATGATGTTGTCTGGAAATGGTGCGTTTTATACCAGCCCATATTAACTGATTAAATATATACCCCAAGAAATGGAAATGATAAAAGTACTACTATAGAAGAAACAAGTAATAGCAGGGTACTTTGAGGGTCCAGGACCATATTCCATTCTTTGAATTTCTGAACATGATAATCCCACAATTTTGTGGTCCCAACATTGGACAACGCAGCCTTCGCCAAGGAGACTCGCACGCGTGCCACCCGCGCAGCTGAAAATTAGTGGTGTCGATGGCTGGCTTCACAATCTTTTTGCCTTCTGGGTCGACCTTCCAGTTATCTGGGTATGGGTTTAAGACCTCTGGTCCCAATATTTGGGGGGTTCTTCAGATCCACAACTACTGCGGCTAGTTATTTGGCCAGCCCAAGGAAGTAACTTCTTGGAAGATGCTTGTTGCCATAGCATGATTCAGCTTTAGTAAAAATGATGGATCATAAGTTTGGGGATGGTTCTGATATATAATTCCTCCCAAGACTGAAATGGTATGCTCGGGTGCACCCTGCCAAAATTCAGCATTATCAAAAGGCTATGTTTCCCGATGGTACTGGTGAAACTTAAGCTTTCACTGTTTTTTCAGCATTGCATCAATAGCAATCTTGGTTTGTGAAGGATCATAGAGCAAATCAGTTCAGGGACGGCCAACTGGTCTTTTCGTTTTGCCAGCCCCTTTACGCAGGATGATCTCAAAAAGGACTCGAGGTTTTCAGATGGGTCCAAGAAATACGGTAAAACCTTTGAAGTTCAACTCATCCTTGTTCTTCTACCT